TAGGCCCGCTAAGCCTCTTAAGCGTAAAATGTGATTATATCGGCAAGTAATCACACATACTGCTCAGAGTCGAGGAATGTGTATACGCAGCGTATGCCAGGGCAGCCTTTTCTAGCTCTGATTGAACAAATTTAATGAACAACAAAATAAAGAGTTTTGATTTTTTTTTTTTTTTTTTTTTTTGTTTTGTTAAATGTATGGCAGAAGTAGTATAAAGTCATAAAATTAAATCAACCATAGCGAATAAATGATTCAAAAGGAAACATGTTTACATTATATAGCATAATTATTGCTTTGCTCTGCTTGCTTTGCATATGCGAACTCAAATAAATACTAATCAAGGCTAGACCACAGATATTTATAAACATTTCAAGCCTAAACAAACGCAATTTGTAAAGAATTATTTATAAAGTATAGGAAAATTTAAAGGCAATACTAATAATAATGATAATATCATATTTTTGAGCTGATTTCATGATAAGTTCTTCATGGTTCTGCTTTGATAAGAATAGAGTATGTCAATGTCTTAAAACATCCTTGAAAACTAGCGCGAAACCAAAGGGATGTGCATCACTGCAACAACAACAATGCAGCATGGCCGCAGCAGCAGCTGCTGTGCATCAAGCGCGTCATAAACGCGCGCACACTCACACACACACACACACACACACACAACAAGAAAGCTGCACGTGCATGCAGGCCATATAACATATAACTGCAAGTGGTATACAAATGTCCGTGTATGCGTGAGTGTGTGTGCATTAAAATGGTTTTGTTGTTGCGCCAAAAACCAAGCCAAGGCTTTTTCGCACATTTGCACCAACAAATGGACTGTTTGGACTTAGATGCTGCTGCTGCTGCTTACTGATTGCTGCTGCTGCTGCGGCTGATACTGTGCGCTCTTTCTCTCCTACAGACGACCTTCACTTTCACACACAGAGAGCGCACAACACAGCCGCCGCGGCCGTCAACGTTAGCTTTTGTTGAATGACTTTTTGCTGCTCAATGCTCAGTGCATATACAAAATTAAATCCGGCTATATATTAATTAGGCCAACAACTTGTTGTTGTTGCTACTTTTAGTTGGCATCCAATTTCATTTCAATTACAAATTCTTTAAATTATTACCATCAACATCATTTTTTATGTACAAGGACAATTTTGTATTCCTTTTCATTTCTTGTTGTTCTTGTAGGTGTTCCTACAAGAGACGACACGAAACAGTCGTCTCGTCGTGCAACAACAACAGCAACAACAACATTTGCGCGGATACACACATTTTCACAAATCAAAAAAGCAAACGAATGTTGCCACACACACAGACACACACTAACACGCACGCACATACACATACACACTAAAACCACCCATCCACCCACACACACAGTTGCTGTTTGAAAAAAAAAAAGTCGCTCACACAAATAGCGCGTCTAATTTTCATTATTATGGATTTTCCGCTTCAATCTGTTTGATTAAGCAATTAATTTATTAATATTTGAATAGCAATTTGTTATTATTGTTACTACTGTTGTTTTCTAATGATAGTGTCTGTGGTCATTGTTATGCCACACACATATAGAGACATACACATACGCATACACACATACACACACAGGGAAATACACGCGCTTACAACCAGGCACTTACACTTACATTCATGTATATTTATATATGTGTGAGTGTGCGTGTGTAGTTTACATTTTTACACTTGCTCTCGTTTTAGCTCTTTTCCCACTGCCCGCACATTTTTGCCTAACGCTTTTGGCTTTTATTTTTACACTATTTTTTGCACATTTCCTTTTCAGCGTTTGCTTGCAATTTGGAATTTTTTCTTTTTTTTTTTTGCTCTCTTTTTGTTTCTTTACATAGATATTCCTGCACGCACGATTTCCAAAAGTCCCGTTGCGTTCAAACGTTCTCGACAAACTGAAAGAACGGAAAGTGAAAAGCGCGCAGTAGCACCAGCAGCAGTAGTAGCAGTAGTAGGAGCAGCAGCAGCAGAAGAGCGGCAGGGTTGCTGCTGCACCCATCTGCGCCTCCTACGTAGTCGCCTGCTGGCCAAACGGTGCTCTCTTCGGCTGGCAATCCGGGACGTGCGCTCTCTCCGCGCCGGCGTGCTGCCACCTGGCGCAAGTGGTGGTCACTGTTGATGTTTCAGCTGCTACACAATGGCATCGAATTCAAATAAATCGCATAAAATGTTAACAGACTTTCTAATGATAAGATTTTCAATTTGTATTCTTATCTGATGCAATGTCTGTGTGAGACATTGAAAATACAACCGAGATAAAAATTGAAAAGATATAATTATATTAGCACATACATTTAGGTTATAAAAAAATATGCGTTATATAGAGTATTTGCTAGCGAAGTAATCTTCTATGGGATATTTTTCTAAACGAAAATAGCATCTGCTTCATGTAAATAACATTTAACTAAACATTTATTTCAATGCAGGGTGCTTGCTCTACAATTAACAATTGGCAATTTTGATCAAACTAAGTGGATAATAAGTATTTTCATGAGTTTCAAAAATATCACTGTTTAAATTATCAGCCGCTGTAACAAATGGTACTGAACACATTTTAAAAACTTTCAAAAATACCAAATGATTACAGTTTACATTTACATTAATTACATGAATTACTTTTGAGGTATTTGGTATTTTCTGTGATGATTATTTAGCTTCAGTGGCGCCGCTGGCTTGTTCATTAAATTGCTTGTGCCATTCCAGATTCTGCTTTGTCACAGACTCGCCGCGCTTAGCTGCTTGCTTTCCACTGTAGATCATAATGCCACAGCCGATCACGGTCAAACCAATCATAATATTTGCCAATCTAATACGCATTTTATTCCGGCAGCGTTCCATTTCCTCCTGGCTGTAAAAATATTAAACCAACGCCTTAAACATGGTACCAGGTGAAATACGTTTTATTTGCATACCCTACAAAGGCAGGAACTTCATCTACTGATTTGTATTTGCCATTCCACACTAACAAACGTTTCTCCAATCCATTTGGCTGATGATTTTTAATAGATTGCCTCAAGGTTTGCGTGTTGCTGAACGTACGTTGCATCAGCAGATTCGATGCGCGCTTACCCAAAGCGGCAATTAGCACGGACTTGGTTAACATCCTAATACATCAACCAGATTGAATTATTACGGATCCAAACCGGCTTTTAAAAGAAATTCAATTGGAAATTCTATCGGGACTGTGGAACTTTATGCAACGTTCGTGACTGTCAGAGTTGACACCACGATCTAACACACTTGTTGAACGTTGCCACTAGGGCAAATAATTTCCGTGAGAGAGCGGCACGTATATTCACAATATGATAAGCATCACATAAATAATTTATTTACTTAAAATTAATAAACTGCTTTTTTATTAATAATAATATATATTAAATTAAAGAGCCTATCAAGCAATCAATATGTATTTTTTTAAATATTTATTTAGATTAAAAACACGGCATTACACAGTATCGCAAGGTACTTTGAAATGCGCATCACTTCTATCGACCATCGATAGTATCGATTGCATGTGTGGTTATACCGGCAAAGTTTACAAAGATGTTTTACAACGTTGTTAGACGAGCCATTCAAACACACATAAAAAATGTGAATAAATTTCAAATTGTGCGGCTCAGCAGTAGCTCCCCTGGTGGCGTAAAAGATGATATCAAGGATGCGCTGGATATTGAGGCGAATTTGTTTGATAACTCAATGGTGCAGCATCAGCCGGTGAGCACGCGGGAGGCTTTACGCAAGCATAAACCAACATTGATTAGTAAACAGAAGCGAGAGCCAAACAAAAAGAAAGACACAGCTGCGGATACAACAGCAACACCGGCACCAGTAAAAAAAACAGCTCCAGTTCCACCAGTTAAGCGTGCGCCTACGCCGCTAATTAAGGACAGCGAATTAAATTTAGAGTTCCTGCGGCTCACCTTGCAAGACCCGTTAATGAGCACCTTGCTGACCGAAGTGCGTTCACGCAAACGTCACGACAAAAACAAACAGATCATTGTCGAGGGCCGACGTCTCATACAGGAGGCCCTTCAATCTGGCTTGAAAATGCTTTCCTTATTCTTTAGCCAAAAGGATCAATTGGCCCTGTTGCGGGATCAAGTGGCACAGGCTCAACAAGAACAAAACACAAAAATCTACAAAGTGCCGCAACATGATCTGAAAACATGGTCTTCGCTAGTAACTCCACCCGGACTCTTGGCAATATTTGAACGTCCCCCTCCGCAAGGCCTACAACAGCGGCAGGACACAGACCCCTTACCCATTACAGTTGTGTGCGACAATATACGTGAACCCAACAACTTGGGCAGCATAATAAGAACCTGCGCTGCTGTGCCCTGCAGCCAGGTGGTGGTCACACACGGCTGCTGTGATCCCTGGGAATCGAAGGCGTTGCGCGGCGGCTGTGGCGGCCAATTCCGTTTGCCCATACATGATGATGTCACCTGGGAGCAGCTGCCACTGCACATACCAGCAGAGGTAGCCGATACTTGCCATGTCTTCATTGCCGAAAATAATCCGTCGAAAACGGCGAAACGTGCAGGCAGAACTGTAGACTACGCAGAATTGGATCAAACAGGCGCGCACAATGTTCTAATCATTGGAGGAGAGAGTCATGGCGTAAGCGATGATGCTTACAGGTAAACATTCTATAAGATCTATCAAAATATATAAAACTAATGTATATCATCTCCTAGTTTCATGAAACTGGTGGGCGACAGGGGCAAGTGCGTCTATATTCCTCTTGCAGCGGGCATTGACAGTCTGAATGTTGCATCCGCCCTCACTTTAATACTATTTGAGCTGCGCAAAAAACTAATCAATAAAACGAACGATTAGTTAAAATAAGTATGCAATTAAAATTGATATAGTTTTATGTCAAAATATAAAGTACAATCGACTAAACGGATTCTTTAATTTAATATTCTTTATATTGTTTGTTATTTTCTATATTAAATCCCATTTGTAAATAACTTTGACATACTACAAATTTATTGCTAAATTGTTTCACTTATTTCGTTTTTTGTAAAATTAATAAAAATTCAACTATTAGCTTCGATTTCCTTGTATACCTCACGTTTGTATTCATCCAGGCCGCCCTCAATAGCGCGCACCGTTCGATTACCACAAACCCACAACTCCTTGCAGACGACTTTAATTAAACGTTCGTCGTGAGAGACCAGAATGACACCGCCCTGAAAATTCAATTGAACAAAATTATAAATTATACAAATAAAATCTTTTAGTTTAGTTCATACCTTAAATGCATTTATAGCTTTGCCCAATGCATCGATTGTTTCAATGTCCAAATGATTCGTCGGTTCATCAAGTACCAAGAAATTCGGTTCCGCTGTAAAAAGCAACGAATTATACAAAATACAAAATATAATAATATATTAAAACATACCCATGCACATTTTGGCTAAGGCCACTCGTGATTTTTGACCTCCAGACAAGCTGGCGATGCTCTGCAGAGCCAGTGGACCCGAGATACCAAAGCTGCCCAATTGTCGACGATACTCCTCATCGGGCCGGCCAGGGAACAGCTCCGCCAGCACGCCCACACAGGTCACATTCATATTCAAATGATCGACGTGATGCTGGGCAAAGTAGCCTATGCGAAGACCGCGATGCAGCACAATGTTGCCATGGATGGTGCTCAGTTGGCCAACAATAATCTTCAGCAACGTTGATTTGCCTGCTCCGTTCTCGCCCACAATGCAAATGCGGGAATCCGAAGTGGCTGACAGGTTAACGCCCTTGAAGATGGGCAACGGATCCTCGGGATTGTAGCGGAATGAGACCTCTGAGATGGCCAACACGGGCGGGTTTAGTGGCTCCACTTCGGGAAATTTGAGCGTTACAATTGTCTCCTTCTCAACGGGCTTGAGCTCCGGTCTAGAAAGTTAATTATAAAATGTTTTAAATCAGATTCGATTTAGGATATGAATTCCACTTACAGCTTCTCCAACATCTTGATTTTGGACTGAACAGATGAGGCTCGGTTAGCGTTGTAGCGGAAGCGATCAATAAACTCCTGTACATGTGCCCTGTGCGCCAGTTGCGCCTCGTACTCACGGCGCTGTGACTTAAGCTTCTCTGTCTTTGTCTTCTCAAACTGTTCGTAGTTACCCCTGGAAAGATTGGAGACAATCAGATCAGGTGTAGTAGATGAATTGGCAATCGTGCTCACTTGTATGCTTCCAGTTCCTGGGAATGTAGATGGATGATGTCCGTTGGTACAGTGTCCAGAAAGTTGCGATCGTGAGATACCACCAGAATGGTTGTTGGCCACGTTTGCAAGTAAGTCTCCAGCCAAATGATGGCCTTGATGTCCAACATGTTCGTCGGCTCATCGAGCAGCAGCAGATCCGGTTTGGAGAACAGCGCCCGAGCCAGAGCCAAACGCATACGCCAACCACCTGAGAATGATTTCGTGGGCCTCTGTTGCATGTCTGCATCGAAGCCCAGACCCTTAAGTATCACAGATGCACGCGCCACAGCCTTGTCCGCCTCGATATTCTGCAAGGCGGCGTATGTTTCGCTCAGCTCGCTTGACAGCGCCGCATCCTGCACCCCACTGTTCAAAGCGGCCAGAATTTCTTTCTCCCTTGTCAGAAGACGCGTACGCTCCGTATCACACTCAAGCACACTGTCCACAGCCGATGTGTCGTCGCCCACTACCTCTTGTTCGACATGCAGCACTGATATGTGCGATGGAATTTGCAGCTGGCGCTCGGCAATCATGCGCAACAGCGTCGTCTTGCCAAGTCCATTGCGGCCAACCAGGCCATAGCGACGACCAAAGGACAGCAACAAATTAGCATTTTGCAGGAGAACTCTGTAAGAGATTCAGTGAATAACATATGGCAATCCAGATTTATCTGTCAACTTACTTCTCTCCAAATGCCAAATCGAAGTTTTCAATTTTAATGTCCATGGAACGATTGAGTCCTTTTTGATCCAGTTTGGTGTTCTTTTTGTTCGTCACCTGAGAAGCGGTGGCCGTTTGCAACTTAACAGCCACTGGCACAACCCCGAACTTGGTCACCTCCTGACGTTTCTCCTGTTTCTGCATTAGTTTGGCCTCCGCTTTCTCCAGCTTCTTGGAGTCAACTTTCTATAATTGTGAAAAATTATCTAAGCCATGTCTGTCATATAATGCTGAATATTTGTTTACTCACATTACCACCGTCTTTGTTGACCACCCAAATACTATTCATTTCCTTGTCCATGCGCTCCATATTCTTGGCCATCTCCTCAATGTTAACCGGCGCATTGAGCACCTTGCGCTCGACATTCTTCGCGTTATTCTTCATGATATTGAAGAATTCATCACAAAGCCCTCGTATATTCTCCTCGGAACGCTCGCCATCGATACCTTGGAGTATGTCGCCCACCGCATCGAAGATGTCATCGCACGTATCGAAATCTTCTTCGCTGCCAGTTAGGACGCCCTCAACATAGTCCTTCATCTCATTGTCTATAGCCGGAAACTCACGTTGCAAAATGATTGCGTATTGACTCATCCTGTCGGCGTTGCTTGTTGCTGCTGTTCACTTGACCTTGATCGCGCAATCCAATATTGGTTGCTGCACAATGGGACACTGTGGTACTGGCCTAATTTAAATAAATTGATTATTATTATTATTTGATTAAGCACAGCCCCAATGTGTTGGTCGTTCATCAACGTGCCAACAAAAAAGAAACCCCAAAGCAGGGTTGCTGCAACTAACTCGATGCATCGATATCTTAAGCTATCAGAGCTTTGCTATCGAAACAAGCTGTATCGATATAAGATAGTATCAACGGCCTTTTGAAATAACAATGGGAATTTCGTGTGTTAATGAAAATATATATATTTTACTTTCAAATTTGTGTTCGAAGTTGATAACAATTTTTTTTTTAAATATACATGTTATAAAACTAATCGCGCATTGAGTGTACTACTTGTATTGCTCAAGTAGTTTGATAAGCAGCCATAACATAATACATAATAATTTAAAATAACAATGTTAAACGCTATTAAAAAAGAGGACCTTGGTTTTTGTAAAACAATAATCAATGGAAATGCATATGTAAAACAATTTTTAAAAAGCATAAGTAATTTGTCTATAAAAGTGGACCGTACTCATAGGCATACATGTGTTCAAGTGTATAAATAATTGCAATAATCATAATCATCATACAAGTATAAATAATTGCATTAATCATAATCATAATAATCGTACATAATGTTAAGTTGCTCAAGAAGTTGTTCATAACAATTTACAAACTAGAATTACTACTATCACCGTTTTATGCGCTTTACAACTTACGAACTAAGGCTAAATTATGTATTATCATTTTCTTTTTCATTTCATATAAATAGTACGCAATGCCTCTAAAGTCGATATTTATGTACATGGCTACATAGAGATATATTAGCATCCACTAGGCGCTCGGCGTTGCCGAGCTGCTGCTGTTGCTGTTGCTGCCGTTACTGCTGCTGCAGTTGGTTTTGCGTTGTCGGGCGCCGCGTCCACTTAGCAAGTAGGACAAATCGATTGGCTGCTCCTGCGCCGTTTGCGCATCCAGGCATTTGAGCTTCATGGTATTTAGAACATTCTCCAAGCGTGATCGCTTCTTTTTTAGCACCTACAAACAGAATACAGTTTGAGTATGATTATGATAAAAGTGTTGTATATTTTGATATCAACCTGTCCATTGGGAGCAACTGGCGTTAAAACTTTAACAGCGGTTTCTGTGAGAGATGCCGTTACACTGGATGCTGATCCTGTCTGCCCAGCGTTCGCATTTCGCTGTTTCCTGTTGCTGCCCGTTGCTTGGCTTGTTTTCTGCTCCTGTCTGCTCATTTTTATGGATGTTGCTCCTACTTCTAAATCAGTCTTTTGCTTCCTCGACTTCAACAACGATGGGTCCACATCATGTGGCTGCAAATGAGATTTATTGTTGAGCTCTGATTGATTATGATTATTTTTTCTATTTCACTTACCGCATAGCTCTTTGAGATCTTGAGTTTCTCCGGAAACTTTCTAAACGCATAGCTCTTAGTGCACGCCGGATGATTGGCCTTTGCCTTGGAAAAGAAACGCGCGGTTTTGTCCACACGCAGCTCACATATGTAGCAATGATCCTCGTCGGTGCACTCCATGGGTCGACCCTTGCAGAATGTGGTGCGATCCAGCACCCAACAGCGCCCAATCACTAGTTCTATAGGCACCACCTCGTACAGCGAGACCCGAACTACCTCGTTGGGATAGAAACGACGCGATGGCTCATGGAAGGTCTCGTGAGGACGCAGGAAGTGATGACCGAATATGAAGCGTTTGCCCGCCTCGTTCTTCCACAGATGCTCCACGCGAAATATGTCGCACTCTTGATAGTCAATGGCTCCAATGGTCTCGTACGTATGCTTCTGACTGGGCAGCACCTTGCCCGTCTTATCCTTGATGGGTATATCGCGCAGCACGTAAACCGCGTCGCCCTGGCGCACCTGCAGGTCGCCACGCATCAGAGATAGATAGTAACGATGTCCCTCCTCCGTGTACTCATCCAGCGGTATTTCACGATCCACTTCACGCGGCTCGCAGCGTTCACACTGATAGTTATCCGCATTGATGTCTGCTTTGGTGCACTCGGTATGCTGCCAGACCATGCACTTGGAGCACTGAATCATCAGACCCTCGTCCTTGTACAGACCACAAATGCAGCGTATGACATCTTCCTCGTCCGTGGCCGGCACCACCTCTGGGGCTGCAACCACAGCTGCATTTGTTTCCTTAGTTTCCTTTGCATTCTGCTGCTGCAGCTGCTTCTGATCCTCTGGCTGAACTTCTTTGGCCTCTTCCTCTGTCTCCTGCCTGGGCTTAAAGCTTTCCAGCCCCTCCGGCTTGCCCAATATTTCCAGCAGCTGCGCGTAGTTGGCCTCCTTCTGCTGCTTGTAGCTTTCCAGCAGCGTTTGCAGCGCCTTGTACTTGTCCTCATCGTCGCCGTGCAGCTGCCGCGCCTCTGTGAACAGCTGCTGCATCTGTTCATCGTAGGCCTGTGGTGTCTTGTAATGTCCCTGCTCCACTTGAGCTTGAATTGTCTTAAAATCGAGACGCGCAGTTTTCAGCTGCTTCTTTTTCTTGCTGCTGGCCAATGTGGAGAGCAGCTCCGACATTTTGGGAGATTCAAGTGCGCTACAAATGTCGCGGAATACTACAGCCATTTTGGCCATCTTCTCCAGCTCTGGATCCTGTACGGCTTGCGTTAGGCCACGTGTCTTCATGTTGCGCGGCGTGCAGAGAGCTGAGATTTGTGCGGCTAACAGCGAGCTTGACGAAGGAGTCGATGGGCGACGTCCAGGCAGATCAGCCTCACCCGTAGCCGGTGAGCCAGCAGCGCGCGCCTTTGCTGCAGCGCGTTTGGCTTTGCAACGACGAATCTGTGAATGAGAGGTTTTATTGTAGAATAACTTTATATTGGAGCGTTTGCTACTTGCCTTCTCGAAGTTGCGCACCAGAAAGATATTACACTGCTTGACCAGCTTCTTCTCCTTCTCGGAGAGCTGCTGAACGCGTGCCACAACCATTGCCTCCTTGGCCGCCTGCTGCTGGCGCTGTGCGTGCTTCTTGGCCTTGTGCTTGCGCTGCCGCCCATTTCGATTGCCGTTGGCATCCTTAGCGCCAGCATTGGCGCCCTCCACACCTGCCGTCGTCTTCAGTTCCGCGGGCAGCGGTTTAATGCGCTGGGATTTGCCGCCAATCACACCGCGACACTGCGGCATATTGCAACGGCACGGCTGGCCCTCGGAGGGATTGAAGAGCGAGAAATTGTAATCGTAGGTCAGCTCCTCGCCCTCCTCAATGGCACGTTTGGCGAACAGCACCATGCGCGACAATCCATTCACACTCCACTTTTGCATCTCGCAGTTGGGCTCACACGAGTGATTCACGAAGCGGCAATCGCTACCCATGCGCTGGCCATCGATGACCAGACCGCCATCCAGGTGCAGACAGTAGTGATGCGTATCATTCAGGTAAATGGTGGCCATGCGCTGCTTGAACTCCCGCTCGGTGACCACCTCGCCCACATACTCCAGTATGTAGGTGCCCTTGGCAATGGGCAACTTGGTGCGCACACCCCAGCCCTTGTCGGCGGTCATGAAACGCTCCACTCCAGGCGCCACCTCATGTCGTTGGATCTTCTGATTGCGGCACTTGTCGCCCGCTGGGCAATTGTTGGGCACACACTCTGTGTACACCATGCGATTCAGGCAATTGTCCAGGCAGGCGCCATTCGGCTGGGGCTTGCAATTGCAGTTGGGATGATCGAAGCCCGCGAGATTGGGACGCACCGACTCCGCATAGACATTGGTGCGTATCTTGCGATAGTTCCAACTGGGCACCACATGCCGCGTGGGCAACTTATCGTGGCTATAGGCCCACCAAATATCATAAGGCAATTCAAAGTCCATGATTGTGCTCCTAAAGTAACGTTCACAATAGGTGGGCGGGGGCAGCAAAGAGCTGCCCTGCTGTGGCTGCTGCTGCTGTTGTTGTTGTTGCTGTTGCTCTCCATCTGCAGTTTTCTTATTTGGCTGCTTGCTGGCAACAGTTGCAGCGGGCGTCGTTGCTACACCCCCACCTCCCAGCTGCTTGTAGTAATTGGAGAAGAGTCCTGCCACCAAATAGTTCTTCTTTAACTTGGTGCGCTTGCGCTGCGATGCAGTGCTGCATTTATCCTCGCTGGTATCACTGCAGCTGGCATAGTCGGTGGCCAGATTCGAGCTGGACTCGTGTGCTGGCAATGGCTCATGCTCAATGGCTGGCACTGGCTGCAGCTGCCGCTTGGCTGCCGCCTCAGCTGCAATCTGCTCTTGATCATCGCTGGTGGGTGGCTCCAAATGCAACTGTTGCGACTTTTGCTGCTGCTGCTGGTGTTGCGATTTCTTTTCTTGCTGCGGCTGTTCCTGTTGCTGCACTGTGTCCTGTTGCTGCATCGTTTTGCGCCGCTTCAAGCGTATTTTACAGCTAAAATTCGTATTGGGATCAATGCCCGCAGGCAGCTTAATGCTACTCTCCAGCTTTCGCTCCAGTCTGGGCAGCGCCACTTCCGCTTGCTTGGCAGCACGTCCACGCTTTTTCGCCGGCTGCACTTCCAGAAGCGGGTCTAGCTGTGGCTCTTGTGGCTGCTCTTGCTGCTGCTGCTGCTGCTGTGGCAGCTGCTTTTGCAACTTGGGTCTGCCTCTGCCGCGTGGCTTGCCTCGAGCTGCCGCTCCACTATTTGCTGGCGTTGGGGGTCGCTGCAAACGCTCCAGGGCCACCACCGACAAACGCGGCGTGCGCTGGTTGCTGCTGCGAGCCACAAATGTTTCACGCGCCTCGCCTGGCTGCGGCACACGCTCGCAATCCATTGTGACAGCGGCAGCCAGAGTGCTGCTGCTGCGGGTTTCACGTGCGGGCAGCAGTTGCTGTTGCTCCAGTTGCTGCTGCTGCTGTTGCTGTGGCTGTGACTGTTGCTGCTGTGCATTCGCTGTCTGCTCAACACTCACCTTACGCTTCTTCCGCCTCACTGTGGGAAAGCCGGTGCGATTGATTTTCTTGCGCTTGCGCTTGAGCAACAAATTGCCGCCCGTCTTGTGCAGCAGCGTTTCCAGCACGCGCTGGCACTGCTCCTTCTTGTTGGCGTCCTCCTTGATGTCCATGGCTGCCAGCAGAGGTGACTCCACCTCCGATTTTGTGATAACCGCCTCGTTTAACTTGGCTATGGGTATTTGGATTTCCAGTTCCACCGACGGCTCAAAGATGCCCGGCGGCGGGCAGCTGTTGCTGCCGGCGGGCGACTGCAGTTGCTGCGGCAGCTCACGAGCAGCTGCGCCCGCTATCGCCGCCGTGGAGTTCTTTGACTTGGCGCCCTGACGACGCTGCTGCTTCAGCGAGCACAGCGAACTGGGACTGATGTCCAGCAGCTTGCCGCCGCTTATGGAATTATTATCGACGACAATGCGCAATGGAGAGGCGTTGCCCGCTGCCGAGGAGCCGCTGCCACTGGCCTCCTGGCTGACCAGCAAATGTCGCTTCTTGGGCGTTAGTTTCTTGGCATTGAACTGCGCCTGGGCCTTGGTATTGACGCTGCTCTTGGCCGCCGCTGCAGCAGCTGCCCACGCCTCGGCATTCAGCTTGCCGTTGCTGGCAAACGCCGACGCCGACACCTCGGCGCCCGTTGTGACCAGATAATGGCGCTTCTTCAGCGGCAGCTTATGATCGTCGGGACTAGAGCTGTTGCTGCCACCGCTGTTGCTGCTGGACTTCTTATGGCGTCGCTTGGCGCCGCCGTTGCTGCTGCTGCTGTTGCTATTGCTGATGCCATTCGCATTGCCAGCGCTGGCCGAGAGCATGGCAAAGTCAATCAGCGGTTCGTTTAGTTTGCGCTTCTTCAGTGCGCGTTTCAGCGGCTTGGTGGCTCCACTGCCAGTGCCGGCTACGTTGCTGCTACCGCTGCCACCGCCATTTAGCAGCGGCAACGTCGCTGCAATGGGTGCAGTGGCCAGCGTGGCCTGCAGCTTGTTCGCCTCGGCTAGCAATTTCTCCTTGCCGCTGCTCGCTGTCAGCCGATCCTCCTGAATGCGACACCGCGCGTGAAATGTGCTTGCAATGATGTCTATTTCGGTTAGCAGCTTGGAGTCAATGTTTAAGGATTTCGAATGACTCATGCTCTTCCTGCGCTGCCGTCGTCGCCGCGACACGCCCGACACATAGCTGCTGCACATGCTGGCCGCCGACGAGCGTCGACTCTTTATTTTACACGCACTCTTGCTGGGCACAATCGTATCCTGGCTAATGGAGTGCTTGCGTTGCAGCAACATCTTACCTAGAAAATCAAATATGTTTAATCAAGTACTTATATATAATTCATTCTGTATCTCATACCCTGCATAAAGTTATCTGCCACCGCTGCTGTCGCTATCGGCGTGCTGGATCCGGCCGCAAGACTCCCAGCTGTTGCCTTTGCTGCTCCACTAAAATATTGTCCAGTGGTGACAAACCGATTGATCTCACCATATTTCTTGCTGGCACTCGTGCTGGGCAAACACTTGAGACTCGGCTTGCTAATATATTCATTGCTCTCCTCGCTGCTCTGGCCAAGCGAGAGCCCCGCCAGCTGCAGTATATCCTGATCGTGCTCATCGCTGAGCGCACTCGCTGCCTGCTCATGCCCGCTCCGCAGCATAGAGGCGCGTCTACGTCGCCGCAGCGATTTGCTTGATTTACCCGAGGATTCCTTGCAGTCGCTGCGATAGCCGCAGCTTTTGGCGCGACTCATGCGGCTGCGACTGCGACTGGCGCAGCTGCGGCTGCTGTAGCGGCTCTTGCAACTGGCATCCGATTTGTAGCCCGAATTGTGATTGTGCCGCTGATGCCGCACGCTGCCATAGTCCGAGACGTAGCCACTTTTGGCGGCGAGGATTTTGCTGCAAATGGTATTCGATGTGCCACCACCGCCGCCTCCGTCGCTTTTGTAGCCGCTGACGCTGCGCAAGCGAAACTTCTTGTTCACGTCGATCTTGCGCCACAGCGGATCGACCTGCACATCCTCCTTCTTGTCCTTCTTGTTGCCCTGCCGTCGCTTGCTGCGCGGCGGCGGATACAGCACACGTTCCGCTGTTGCATACATGCGCTTATCCAGATAGGCCATATCGATTTTCGGCTTGGCATTGTCGCTGGCCATTGCCGCCGGCTGCATTTTGGGCGAGGGCGTGGTGCTGATGACGCCCGAATCTGCTGACTCATTGATGGTGGGCACGGCGACGGGCAGGGGAGCTACGCTGGCAGCGGCAACAGTTGGTTGTAGCTTCTTGGGGCGGCCGCGTCGCTTGCGTTGCTGCAACTGTTGCTGCTGCTGCAACAGCTGCTGTTGTGCGAGGTTGCTGCTGCTGCTAGTAGATGCCGATGCAGCTGGAGCTGAAGCTGCTGCATCGGCTAAGCTGTTGGTGCTGCCTGTGTGATTCAGCATTTGTGTCTTCTCCATAAAGTCCTGCAACAGTGTGGATTGATATTGGGGCAGATGCTGTTGCTTAACCTTGGCGGCAGCAATGCCAGCTGAAATGCTGCTGTTGTCCTCGGCATCGCTTTCGACACGCTTAATGGCCGCCTTGACCAGGTCGGCTGCTTTGACCAGCTCCTCGTTGTCGCTGCTGGAGATGCCCATGTGATGATGGTCGCCCTGGCTGCCCCCAATTGCTGTTAGCAGCAGACGCGGTGCCCGCTGAATGTGCATCTTCAAGGGCAAGTCATCATCCGAATCGGAGCTAAATACAGCTGCAGCCGTGCGATTCGTTTTACCATTGCTATTGTTATTATTATTGTTATTGGCCATGAAGTTGCTGCTGCTCTTTTGCGCAATCTTCTTCCGTTTGACTTTTATCTTTTTGGTTGTGTTTGCAATTGATAAGACTTTATCTTTCTCCCTCTCTTTGTCTCTATGCCTGTCCTTGGCATCTGTCGAACAGCCGCTCAGCTCCTGAGCCTCGCTCATCTTGCGCACCTTTGTCAGCTTCTTACGCGAAATATTCTCAACTGTCGACGCTTCCTTTCGAGCTTGAGTCGAATTTGTTAAACTTGTTGCTGCGTTCGTTGACGTTGCGGCTGCTTGCGATGCGGGCGGGTTCCTTATGGCCGAGATTCTCATGCGCAGTCCATCAATATCCGAACGCTGTACGCTAAATTGTGTTGCTGATTTCGTAGACTTCGATTGACTCGACTGATCCGTAATAGAGTCGGTTTCCTGAAATAGTCATCGTATGTTAATTTTTGCAAATTAAACTTAAATTAACACTTTATACCATATAACTGAATATTAATATAAAAAAAAAAAACTGTATTCTATTTTAACGAAATATTAATAAAATAGAATATATAATATATAACAGAACATTAAAATGATAAACTTTATACTATATAACAGCATATTAATATTTCTTAAGCTTTGCACTATTATTATATTAAAATATAACAGAAAATTTTTATAACAGATTATGGGAATATTCGATGCTCGTATCCCAGTTATAACATAATGTCTTATTTTATTTTCTCTTATGACTTGTTAATTAATTAATACTTAATAGCCCTAGCATACACTTATAGCAACATAATTAAAAGTAACTTTTAATATGTACATTTTATTATATATAAATATTTTATTGCACGACTTACCTCATTTTCACTGCCGGATTCTTGTGTACGTTGCTGCGTTTCGAGAACCTTTTCCTTTTTTGCTGCTGCTGATGCCTCATTTTGGCCACTGCTCATATTTCGACTCGAGGGCGGAGCTATTCATATATAATATATGTACATATATAAAATAATAAAACTTTATTAACCTGGTCACATTAATTACAACACGTTCAGAATTTTTGACAATTTAACTAGGTCAAACCACAAAATGCGACAGACACAAAACACACACACAGACGCAAACAAATATTTATGGCTGAGGGGGCGGGCGGAAATTCCACACACACTTACACAAATACGCACACACACGTACACTTACGTTTTGTAATTTTTTTTTAGCGTTAATTGATTATGCACACCGATAATGAAATTGTTATTTGAGCATATGCATATGCTTTTTGCGCCTTTAATTGCATTGCATTCAAGTTTTGCTTGCTGCTTTTGCTGCTGGCTTTGTTTTGCTTCTTAAAATGGCGCCGTTTTCACCCTGCAGTCTCGCGTTGAATTTTCACTGCTGCTGCTTTGTTCCAAAGGTGCGACGCGACATGCTTCAATGCACTTTCAACTTAATTGCTGATCATATATTAAACACTTGCACTGGCTTTTAATAGTTAATCGCATTACGTTTACAATATTTTGCACGCTATAATCTATAATTTCAATAATAAAACAAAAAAGCCACAAGGTATGAACATAAATAAAGAAAAGAAACTACGAATTAGGGATGGCCAGCAAAGCGATGTATTTGTATGCACCGATTATTTAGCATATGGAGTCATTCGATTAGCATTTGCATTCGAGCGCCTTTTCCAACACTACTATCAGATATAATTTGAGCCAATTCCAGCAAAGAATAATAAAACTAGGTATTTATATTTAATAACATTTGAATATTTTCATTTTATTTGTGTACTGTAATTTTTCAATTTAAAAACAAGTTTCTGTTCTAAAACTTATCGAACTAGTTTTTAGTACGATACATTCGCTTGTATCAAATGAGTAATCGACCACCATTAGTGTCCCACCTCTACCCATCGTAAGTGGATGGCATATACCGTTGCAGGGTGAAAAAAATTGTTTATTTATCAAAATGAGTAATAAAGCGTTAAAAAGTAGTAGCCCTGCCAGCAGTATGCTCTATGGCTCCAGCATATCAGCCGAATCAATGAAAGTAATTGCCGAAAGCATCGGTGTGGGCTCCTTATCCGATGACGCCGCCAAAGAGCTAGCTGAAGATGTTTCCATTAAGCTGAAGCGAATTGTACAGGATGCCGCCAAATTCATGCACCATGCCAAGCGGCAAAAGCTGTCGGTCAAAGACATTGATATGTCGCTGAAGGTGCGCAATATTGAGCCACAATATGGATTCATGACCAAGGACTTTATACCCTTCCGATTCGCCTCCGGCGGCGGTCGCGAACTACATTTTACAGAGGATAAAGAGATTGACTTAAACGAGATCACCGCCAATAGCTCATTTAAAATACCACTAGATCTAACGTTGCGATCCCATTGGTTCGTTGTGGAGGGTATACAGCCCACCGTGCCGGAAAATCCACCACCCCTCTCCAAAGACTCGCAGCTCGTGGACTCTGTTAATCCTGTCATCAAACTAGACCAAGGCCTGAACAAAGATGCCGCTGGAAAGCCAACCACTGGCAAAATACACAAGCTTAAGAATGTCGAAACAATACATGTCAAGCAGTTGGCTACGCATGAGTTGTCGGTGGAACAGCAGCTGTACTACAAGGAGATCACCGAAGCCTGCGTCGGATCGGATGAGCCTCGTCGTGCCGAGGCGCTGCAGTCGCTCGGCTCTGATCCGGGTCTCCATGAAATGCTGCCCCGCATGTGCACCTTCATTGCCGAGGGCGTTAAAGTTAATGTTGTTCAGAATAATTTAGCACTTTTGATTTATTTGATGCGCATGGTGCGCGCTCTGCTGGACAATCCATCGCTCTTCCTGGAGAAATATGTAAGCCAATGTTGAAGTTTCCCTCCGCTTGTTGAAGTTTAACTTTTCACTCTTTTTAGCTGCACGAGCTGATACCATCTGTTATGACCTGCATTGTGTCCAAGCAGCTGTGCATGCGTCCAGAGCTCGACAATCATTGGGCCTTGCGTGACTTTGCCTCCCGTCTCATGGCACAGATCTGCAAAACCTTCAACACGCTGACAAATAATCTGCAAACTCGTGTCACACGGTAAGTGCATGAAATACAATATCCATATATATATATATCTAACTCATTTCCCTCATCTTCCTCCTCCTCCTACAGCATTTTTAGCAAAGCTCTGCAGAATGATAAAACACATTTGTCCTCGCTCTATGGCTCCATTGCGGGCCTCTCGGAGCTGGGCGGCGAGGTGATCAAAGTGTTTATCGTACCACGCTTGAAATTCATCTCGGAACGCATCGAGCCACATCTGCTGGGCACCTCAATGAGCAATACGGATAAAACAGCCGCTGGCCACATACGCGCCATGCTCCAGAAATGTTGCCCGCCCATCTTAAAGCAAATGCGCAACCCACCGGACATCGCTGAGGAGTACAAAGCGGACTTTGGTTTTCTGGGTCCTTCGCTGTGCCAAGCTGTGGTCAAAGTGCGCAATGCACCAGCCAATAGCGCCCTAGTGCTGGCCTCCAGCAGCATCAATACGGCGCCCATAACAAGCGCTGCCCAAACAGCGACAGCCATTGGACGCGTCTCTATGCCGAATTCTCAGCGACAAGGGTAAGATATAATCCAAGGATAGTCTCAATGCCTATGCCCTCGACTGTAGACAAATTTCGACTATTTAAATTGCTTGAAATATTTAACAAATGGTTCTCCTCTCTCTCTCTCATTTATTTAGCAGTCCCGTGGTGGCCGCCCTACCGCAAATACGCGCCATTCAGGCCAATCAGCCGGCGCAGAAGTTTGTGATTGTCACACAGAACTCACCGCAGCAGTCGCAAGCGAAGGTGGTGCGCCGTGGCAGCTCACCGCACAGTGTGGTGCTGTCATCGTCCTCGGCGAACGGCGCCAATGCCTCCAATTCGAATTCATCGTCGACGGGCAGCATTGGCCCTGGGGCTGGCGGTGGAGGCGGCAACAGTGGCGGAGGCAATGTCGGCGGAGCAGGCGGTGGTGCAAATAGTTTGCTAACAGCGCGCAGCAATAATGATAATGTGTGTAGCAGTCCTGGGTACCTGCCAACTCCCTAAAAGTGATCCACTCTAATAATGCTGTTTATGCGCATTTCAGAGCATCGTGGATGCCAATTCGTTGATCATTGAAACGGAAATAGTGCGCGCACCGCCCGAACTGGATGATTTATCGCATCTGGAGTAGCCTTATTCTTCAAACACACACACGTGCACACGCCGTTTAGTTATTTAAGAACTAATATTAGTTAATAAACACAGGCACTGACCAGCAAGCCAACCCCTCAGACAATTATTTACAATTGTAGCAGCTGCCAGCTGCCCCAACCCCCACGGAACCTACGCCAATGGCACGCTCGCAACACGCATGTGCGGGCGCCACAGAGCTGGCTCGCTATTGATTTTTAACCAAAGCACATACAGAGAACAACGCCAAACTCCTTGTACATACCAATTCAGTTCGCGTGTGTGTTAGACAAAGGCGAAAGCTCGACCAAGGCAGTTTGTGAATTTTTTCACAAAAATTCTATCGACAGAGTAAATTGTGAGCAAAAAAATAAGTGGAGTCAAAATGCACGCAAGATTTGCGGATCCAGAGCCCGCCTCGCCGGACAGCGTGGACAACATTGAAGAGGAATCTCTGGAGGCGCGCATCGAGCACTTCAAACAGAATCCCAATAACATGGCCATGCTGCACGAATTCATCGATGAGGTGGCCCAGCGTGCCGAAGCGGAGGCCAATAGACGTGCGCTCGAATCACAGAAATCGCAACAGGTTGGCCAATCATTTATCATCCGCTTTACTGTAGAAAGTTTTGTACTGAAATACACATACACACATACACACACACACATACGCATACATTTACGTTTCTTCCACAGGGCAAGGAGAAGCGACCGAGTAAGTAGAAGCACCCAAAAGGGATACGTTTTTATTACTAGTTAACTTTCTTCTTTATTTTGTTACGTCTTTCTGTTGCTATGGAAACTTAAAGTTTGGACGATCGTAGTCCGCCATGCATTTGCTTATGTAGTAGACCTGGGCGCACTGGTCCTTGTGAGCTTTCGCTGTAAGAATATTGATAGCAGATTTATTATTTAATGGGCTTTATCTATATTTATCTGGAGTTAGCTAAGCAGGCAGTGGCTGAGCGCAGTTCAAGCTTTGCGAGTGTTAAGAGGCTTTAGATATTTTGTTTTTGTCAAGAGATTTCTAACTGAGAGCTTCTGCTAGCTGCAAGTAATATGTGGCTTGTCTTATGATCTCAGAGAGAATCTTAAATTTAAGGAATCAATTTTTAAGTAAGGTATTTAAAAGTGGGGTATTAGAAATTAAATTAAATAATTAAATACTTTTTTTCATATTCAAAAGAATTGCGATTGCACTATCCGACTGGCTTAAAGTTCTCATAAAAATTCGTTGATATAATATAAATAAATAAATAATATAATATTAATTAATTAATAATTTTTAAAATGATTTCCAATACAAAGAATATCAAATTTTCTTCTATCTAAAATCCATTTTTCTTTAATATTTAATATAGTTAAAATCTCCAATGTGCAGCACTTTTAAATTTACTAAATTTAACATGTTATTCAAAATTTTTAGTCTTAGGCTAAATTTTTTGTCCCTAGGTATATTTATATAGATGGTATAAGGTATAGGAGCAAAATGCTTTCTTTTTTATCATACAAGGCAGGAGCATAATATGAAAAAAATTATTGACTTTACTCAGCTTAACTTGAGCCTTCGATATTAATTTATATGCCCTGAGCTTATTGGGAATGGGTATGGCATTTATATAGTTCTTGAGCACCCTACTCACGTTCATCTTTGCAATGGTTGAGCGCCTTTTGGGCTGGATCCTGTAGCTCGGCTGGCAAAATGATGGGCATCTGGGCCATGGCCTTGTTCACGCTGAAGTCGCCTTTCTTGGTCAAAATGCCGGCCAGCTGAGCAACGCATTTCGTGTAGCACTGCAAAAAGGGATACAGAGGAGCACTTGAAGGGTAGAGAAACCAGCCAGAGAAACCAGCCAGTCAGTTAACTATGCCCGTTACACACCAGCAAATCCTGTGAGGGCTCGAAGCTAAAGTCACCGTCACGTAGGCGATCCAGCGTGTCCAGCGGCACCTTGAACTTGCCCATGCAGCCGTTGCGCATCATGTCCAGCGATTGGAGAAACTGTTGCATAGTGACGGCGTCGCAGAGCTTGGGCGACAGCAGGAGCAGGCCGAGCAGCAGCAGCAATAGCTGCCAGGATCTGTGCCAGCAGCTGGTCGAGCGAGCGGTTCCCATGATAAGACGCAATTGTGTGGCAGATGCAGGGCACGCGGCGCTTTATAAGCTAGCCGCGGGGGCGTGCCAAGTCGCAGTGACAGGGAGCAATTAAAAAAGCGACATGCGTCCAAGTCTAATTATTTGCCTCAGTGTGCGATTTTTATTTATGTCATTGGCATGTGAATGTGTGTTTGTTTCCGTTGCACTTTTCTCGTCAGCCACTCACCGAACCCTTTAATTTGTTTTTTTTTTCGGTTTTTTTTTCGATCTGTTCGCCTTGGCACTAATCTGTCTAGGTTTCGCCATACCAGATTTTAAGAACGGCAAGGTGGTGAATCGGGCTCGCGGCTTTGTGGTGCGCATCTTTGATGCCATCTGCAATTGCGCCAACAACAATGCCGCAGCGGCCACAACGCGCTTCAAGCTGCGCAGCAGCAATGGAGGAGGCGGAGCAGCCAGTGCCCCGGCTGGTGGCAAGCGGCAGCAGTCCGCAGACGAGCCGGAGACCCTGATGCTCAGCAAGAAGAAGCCGGCGGCGGAGGGCAAGAAGAAATCCAAGGGCGTCACCATGGCCGAGGACGTCGAAGCGGGCACTCGACTAGTTGAGTAAGGCCCCAGTCTTACTATAATCATGGCAAATCAAAAGTCCCCACCCTATGGAATCCAATCGAAACTAAAGACCAAAGAGGAAAGCAACTTGACATTGATTGAAAATGGAGCAATTATTAATTAAAGGAACGAAATACGTTCACACTTATAATATTTCAGTGCTGCCAGCAGAAAACTATTTAAAAGCTCAATGCAAGCTAAACTCAAACAAAATTGTAAATCGAGCAATTACTGTTAGATATAAAGGCGAAATATGCTCTTATATAAACAAAAACAAAATTGACTTCAGTAACAGCAAAATTATACCAAACAATTGAAGAACGAGCAATTACTGTTAGAAACTAAATAACTATATACGATCGTACTTAAATTAAAATATTATTTCATAATTAAAAGCTTCAGCAAGAAAAAATGAAAAAGGAAAAATTACAACTGCTAGACAAACAGTAATGAAATACGGTCATACTTTAAATCAAATACTTCAGTTCAAATATTATTTTATTCTCTTTTTATTGTAAAACAAAGCTTCAGCAAAAATTTCAGTGGCGCCAGCAGTAAAATTCGAGCAAGAGCTGCAATTATAGCGAATTATGGTCACATTTTAACTCAAATATTATTTGAAAAAAACTTCTATGTCCTTGCTCAACACAAAATCGTAAAATGCACAATTTTAAGTCTTCCCCTTTGAATTCGAAAATGGCACAACAACTTAAAAGAAAAGGAAAACTTAAATTTATAATAATAAATACTATGATTTCTTTAACCTAAATGTGATCCACATTTAACAAAATATTGACTCGAGTGCATAAAGGAAAAGGCACAAAAGCAACCCTTAGGTTAGAAAAGAAGAGAAAGCTAATATGAAAACAAAAAGAAATCATTCATAAATGTAACTTAGTCAAGAGATCTCATTTCGCATACTGCCCTCTTAACTATCCACAATCAATGTAAGGTATTCCATCAAGAACACCTTACAACTGAGTCGAGCACACAATAACAGGCCTTTCAAAATCTCCACCTAATTATAACTTTACAAAAAATCATACATATAAATATATATATATATATACACACACACGTATACCTATATATATATACATATATCTTAATATCAATTGGATATCGATCGACCCCAACATATTGTAGTAGTTTATATCTATTTAGCTGCGTGTGTGTGTGTGTGTTTGCGTGTGTGTCTGTATTAGTAGTGAGTGTTTCGATAAACATATACAAGCAAATAAATGTGTACTGATTTTATAGACATATATACAACATATATATGTACTTATATGAAACTTATAGATTATATATTTAGTTATTTACATTGCAATACCGAAACACAAAAAACAAATGGAACTACTTTCTACATCGGTTTCCACACGACGCGCTCTCTATATTCATTGTATTTTTGTGAGAACCCCTTTTGGAGCCGACTTTATAAACCTAAATCTACCAAAAAAAAAAAAAAAAAAAAACAAAAACAAAACAATCAAAATCTAAAAAAAAAAAAAAAACAAAGAATCTTGATAAAATGATTTTTATATAAGATCTGTAACACTAAAAGCCTGTAGGAATTTTGATTTTCTGTGTATATCATTTTTTGCTAAGCCTGCAATAAAAACAAAGTTGAAATATTTCTTTAGTCTAAGTTTTTGTGCGTTGCTTAAAAAAAAAATATATATTGATAAATATATGTGTAACATGTAATTAATAAATAAATACTGTTGTATTTAGTTAACAAAAATATCAGCAATAAATTGTAACAATGTTTCCAAGGTGTTTGTACTTCTTTATATTATTTTTAAATTTGAAAACTTTGAATATCGCGTGTTTAATTTATATGGATAATATTAAGTACTGCCTAGTCGGTCCATTTTATATTATGCTTAAATAGTACATTTTCTGTTCCATAAAAACTTTATTAGCACTTAGTCCTGAATGTGGCTCAAGTTTCTTCCTTATTTGTTGAACCATCTCAGTTGGCTTTGCAGTCTTTTAATCTTCACATCCCTTTTAATAACAATCTTAGTGGCATTATATTAGAATATTAATTCTAGAATTTATTTATATTATGCTAAGCAAAAACTTTATTCCAATTGGAGAACCCATGAAGAATCCCTCTTTTCGATTTTCTGCCTAAATATAATTTATTTAAAATTCCATTAATATTCGGACTATTTAAATTCCTTCGCTTGTCTGATTTTCTAGTGTTCACTTTCAGCATAATAATTTTAAAGAAAATTATTAATTTAATGCATTTTTTTTTTTTGAATTGAATATTTTCACATTTGTGATAAAATAAAAAATAAAAATATTTAAAAAATTCTGTGCATTATTCAGAGCATTTACTAGCTAATTATTACTAGCCAATTAATCTTAGCTATGCTTCATCGCGTCTTCTTCACGACATTTGTCTCGTGCATTCCGGTTCAAATGATTTATCTATTATTTGATGAGCAGCTAGCACTGGGCTAGCATATAAGGCAATTACAGATTGATGTAGAATTGAGCTGGCTATTTATATAATATATTTATATATTAACTTTGGTAACAGTCGAGCCGACTTCTATGGAATTAAAACCCGCCCAACCGCATCATTTGCAATGCACGGCACGTAGACACACTCGCTAAATGGACAAAAAAAAAAAAAAAACAATATCAGCTGGAATACTATTTTCGGTTACGGATTATCTTCTTCTAATATGGGTAGCTCGACAAACATACATTTGAAACTAGGTCTAACAGCCTAGAGGCTTATAAGCAGAGGCTTATTTATAAGGGACCGGCATGCCCGAGTGCAGCTGATAAAGTATTTATATAATATAAAATTCCTATATAATATTATATATATAAAGAAGTATTCGTAGCACGCTCTCCAGAGCTTCAGCTCTTGTGAGTTGGCAAACTTTAAAGTACGCGACTTGGATATATTATATAAGGAAACAATCTAAAAGTGTCAACAGGTTCAACTGCAAGGTGAACCATTGTAATAAAAGCTGAGAGAGAGAGAGAGACCAACAAGGAGAGAGAGAGAAACCAACAAGTAGAGAGAGAGAGAGATCAGCTTCATTGAGCTCACAAAAGCTCGATTGCTCGCAACGGAAGCGGCACGCGATAAAATTTTAAATTCCCATTTTGCAGTTGTGAGAAACATGTTTAGTTTTCGCATTCAGTTCTCAAGGCAAAGATGAAGTGTTTACAACTGATTTTCATAGCGCTGCTCAGCTGCAGCTCCAGCCAGGCGTTGGCCAAAACTTACTCTGCGGACTACACAGGTGGGTAGAGCACTAGGATCGATCGATCAGCTTCTTCAATGCTAAGTGCAAATCCTTTGTGCCACAGATCTGATGGATTTGGAAGACAACAACGAGTTCGTCTGGGGCGCTGCTGAGAATAGGCAGCATGGCCGCACTAATGCCAGCGCTGAGCGGGCTAATGATGATAATAATGACAATGCCGGCATCAGTAATTTTCTAGCGCGTCATCGTTTGAGCAAGAGACAGGCTGAGGGGGCTTCCCCTCTACTGGTGAGTAGTGGCTTGAGAATCTTCTCTACAGCTCAGCACGAGCTTAGCCCGATCGGCGAATAAGCTAATTATCCATTGCTAAGCTACTTCGTAATATTACTTTAATGTAATTAAATACTGATAAAGCAAGCACAATTAGTTTAGTACCTCATAAACATGACTAAATATTATATAAATATGATAATAGGCCTCAATAATTACCATTACTATCAGAAATATATGAAATCATCATCATATGTGTAACATCATTATCATCACAGCCTTGCTTATCAAAAGTCATTATTGTTAATATCATGCTCATGCCATGCTCATTATATTATATTTATTATCATAAAGACCATTTACCATAATAATTAACATTATCTAATGATAATATATATCATATTTACATTATAAATATCATCATCCTTTAATGATCAACATCATCTTAACTATGATAATTAAAACTTATTTATTAAAGCTTTATATATAAATTTATTTTAGATTTATTATAATTATTATTTTATTTTATTTTTATTTATTTCATTTAACAAATTAGAGTAATTAGAGTTACATTCCCTTACAACTTAAAACAGCAGAGCATTGGTGCTGTGTTTGTAAATATGTGTTCACATTGTATTATTCATAAAACAAAACATTTGTAACTATTATTAATATTATCAAAGTTACAAAATATTTATAATATTTATCAATATGTAAACTCACAAAAATGGAGCACTGATCCACACTGTGGCTGCCCAGCAGCAGATCAGGAATACGACTGAAGCTGTGCAGCAACAGGCTCGCACTTTTATAGCTGAGTAGAGTCGTTCCAAAGAAAGTTGCGGCTCTCGAGCCTCGTTGGAGTTCGGAGAGAGTTGCAGGGTTCGAGTCTGGTTGAATTTCGGAGGCTGCAGGTAGCCTGAACTAAAGAGAGAGTCGTTCCAATGGGAAATGAAATGGAAGTGGAGCACATTAGAAGAGCATGATTCGAATTACGGAGCCCTTGATGCAGATTTGGAATAAAGAGCGACGAACATGTCTGCCTGATGCATACACGAATACAAAACTGAATATACTCATTTTATATATTCATAGCGAATATAATTTTAATTAGATTTAATACTTATTTGATATATACATATATACTTCTCTCCCTCTCTCCACACAGGAAAACAAAGACTATGGCCCGTGTCGCACATCCCTAGGCGATGCCGGACGCTGTCGCCACATAATTTACTGTCGCATGCCGGAGCTGAAGGACGATGTCTGGCGCTTGGTCTCCCAGCTGTGCATCATTGAGAAAACGTAAGCGACAAACCCCAACAAAATCAGCTCAATTCTCCAATACTTCTTCTGCTTACAGTTCCATTGGCATTTGCTGCACAGATCAGGCGATCCCATCACGTTTCAGTCCACAGATTGTGGGCGGCTCAGACGACGAAGCACCACGCATTGTCAATCGACCCGAGCAACGCGGCTGCGGCATTACAACACGTCAGTTCCCAAGAATAACGGGCGGTCGTCCGGCAGAGCCCGACGAGTGGCCCTGGATGGCGGCACTGCTGCGGCAGGGCCATCCCTATGTCTGGTGCGGCGGTGTGGTGATCACAGATCGCCATGTGCTCACCGCGGCCCATTGCCTCTACAAGTGGCCCAAAGAGGAGATATTTGTGCGTCTGGGCGAGTACAATACGCATGTACGTAACTTGCATCAGATCGGATCTGGGATGAATAGCTCTAATTTACTAAAACCAATCCTTAGCAAGTGAATGAGACGCGGGCGCGTGACTTCCGCATTGGCAACATGGTGCTCCATGTGGACTACAATCCGATAACGTACGAGAATGACATCGCCATCATACGCATCGAGCGACCGACGCTGTTCAATACATACATTTGGCCAGTTTGTATGCCGCCACTGAACGAGGATTGGACTGGACGCAATGTCATTGTCCTGGGCTGGGGCACACTCAAATTCAGTGGACCACACTCCAAGATTTTAATGGAGGTGAGGCTGCCCCCGGAATCTCTGAACTCTTTCACGCAATATAATCAACTACGTTTGCCCCTTTGTAGACCAGCTTGCCCATTTGGAAGCAATCGGACTGCCAAGCTGCCATTGTGGACCACGTGCCGGATACGGCCTTTTGCGCTGGCTTGCCGGAGGGCGGACAGGATAGCTGTCAGGGCGATAGCGGTGGTCCGCTGCTCATCCAGTTGCCCAATCGGCGCTGGGTCACCATTGGCATTGTCTCCTGGGGCCTGGGCTGTGGCCAACCAAAGCGTCCGGGCATCTACACGCGCGTCGATCGCTACCTGGAATGGATCATATCCAATGCGGATATATAAAATGATGAGCAATTGATGACATTTACATTCAATTTAATTTGGCATAAGATTAACAAATGCTTTTCTCTAAATATATATACCTATGTAGACAATAATCAACTTGCTAACATACGTCATATCTAGCTAGTATGTATATATATATATATATATGAACTCAGTGTGTGTGGTGTTTGTCCCCCAGGCCCAACCCAACGCTTAGCCTAACTTAGTGAATATAACTCAGGAGCTGGTCGGCTTTGCAGCGGCTGTGGCAGCGGTTGGGATCTTAACGCGCATCGCCTCAGTTGTGCTGCTTGTTTCGTTTTTCGTTGAGGTAAAGTCCGGGTCAGAGAAAGCAATCTTATAGACATCCTCGTATTCGCTGGCAAAGTGCACTTCCAAGCCGTCGGTAATGAAGCTGGGCAGCTCCTCAAAGTCCTTCTTATTGTCAGCAGGTAAAATTAAACAGGTGACGCCGCTGCGTCGGGCCTATAAAACAAAATATAAGCTGCATTATGGGCCTAGGCTTAGTGTAATCGAACTTACCGCAATGGTCTTTTCCTTGATACCCCCCACAGTCAAAACTTTGCCCTTTAGTGAAACCTCACCCGTCATGGCCACATCTGGACGCACTGGCTTTCCGGTAGCAAGGGAAACCAAAGCCGTGATTATAGTGACACCAGCGCTGGGTCCATCTTTGGGCGTCGATCCTTCAGGCACATGCAGGTGAATGTGTCTGTCAATTAAAAAATAAATCAGTTAAGTAAGTCATATTAAATAAGTCATAATAAATAATACGTACTCCTGCTCCAGGAACTTGTTCTTTGGATCATACGTGTACAAAAAGTTTCGAGCCACGGTCAGAGCAATTTGTGCGGATTCCTTCATTACATCACCCAAGTTACCAGTTAAGTGTAATACTCCAGCTGTGGATTCGGGCTTCTCGGCGCGTATGTGACGCCTGGAAGTCTCAATGTATAATGAAGAACCGCCCATTGCGGTCCAGGCCAAGCCCATCACAACACCAGCGGGCGTTACGTTGTACATACGATCGGAACTGAAAACCTGTTTGCCCAGGAACGTTGTCAAGTTGTCGGCATTCACGGGGAACTCATCGCCCTCTTTCTTGACCAGGCGGAAGGCCACTTTGCGAATGACCTTCTCGATCTGCTTCTGCAGATTACGCACACCTGACTCTCGGCAATAGCTGCGTATAAGCATGTTCAACGCATCCTCCGTAATGTTGACCTGCTTCTCTGTTAGGCCACAGTCTTTCATTGCCTGCGGTATCAGGTATTGACGGGCAATAGCCACCTTCTCTTCAGCCACATAGCCGGACATTTCGATGAGCTCCATGCGATCGCGCAGTGGCTCTGGTATGGTATCAACCACATTTGCTGTGCAGATGAAAAGCACTCGTGACAGATCCACGGGTACATCCAGATAATGGTCAAGGAAATTGGCATTTTGTTCGGGATCCAGCAGCTCCAATAGGGCTGAGCTCGGATCACCCTGATAGCCCCTATTGAATCAAACACAAATACCAAAATTAATCACAAATTTTGAACATTATCATTGTTGGGTCTACTCACTTGCCAATCTTGTCCACTTCGTCGATGAGAACCAGCGGATTCTCCGTCTTGGTCTTCTTAAGGCACTGTATTAGCTTGCCAGGCATGGCGCCCACATAGGTGCGACGATGTCCCTTAATCTCTGCCACATCTGTCATTCCGCCAACACTGAAGCGGAAATACTCGCGATTCAGGGCGCGCGCAATGGACTTTGCTATGCTCGTTTTGCCCACGCCTGGCGGTCCATGGAAGCACAAGATCTTGCCCTGCGTCGTGCCCTTCAGTGAACTAACAGCAATAAATTCCAATATTCTCTTCTTAATGTCGTCCATGCCGTAGTGATCGTTGTTTAAAATTTCGGTGGCTTTGTCAAGGCACAGGTTTTCGGGACTAATGACGCCCCAAGGCAAAGAGGTAAGCCAGTCCAGATAGTTGCGAGTAACACTACAAAGAATAGGATATATTATTACACAGAGCTTCAGAGAGAGAGAGAGAGAGAGAGGGACTCACTTAAACTCTGAGCTGTGACTCTCCAAGAAGTTCAACTTGGTGAGCTCTTCGTCAATAACAGTTTTGATGCTCTCTGGTACAGTTTTGTCCTTGAGTTTTTCGCGATACTTTTCGCCAATGGCATCCTTATCATCTTTTTCAATGCCCAGCTCCTTCTTAATCACCTTCAGCTGCTCCTGGAGTATGTATTTGCGATGCTGCTGCTTGACTTTCTCCTCCACTTCGCGCCCAATCTTTTGCTGCAAGCGCGACAGTTCCAATTCTTTTTTAAGCAACGCCAATGCCAACAGAAGACGTTGAGGTATCTAAATGAGAAGAGTTTTGTAGAATTTAATAAACTTTATATTACATAATATAGGCATAGTCAAAAGCTTACATCAGTTTCCTCCAGAATCTTTTGCAGTTCGCTTGGCTCACCAGCGGACAAGGAGGCGCCCAAGTCACACAAATAGATGGGATTATCAACCACTCGCTGATTCTGATGCAGCATTTGCTGCAAGCTTTCTCTATAATAACAAAAATCAGCATGCCTATTAGGTAAACGTATTTGTATTATGCTTCTAGTAGAAAATGCATGCAAAGCACTTTATAAATATATATACCTAAATAGGTACATATATTGCTTGTATAAGAAAAAACAAAATTGTTTACCATAAATAGCATTACGTAACGCCTAAAAATTATCTAAAAGCAGTTTTTTTTTTTTTTGTGTACAATTATATCAGATTTTCCTTATCGAAACATTTTCACCTACCTGTACAATGGGTTCATGGTAATAATATCGCGCAAGGTTTTTATAATCTCCTGTGTCAGAGCCTTGACCTCTTCCGTTTGCTTATACACCGGCTGCTTAATGTTCTCCACTTCTACAATAAGCACGGGTGGCGTTGTTGGGCCGCCTGTGGATGTTTCGGTGCTGTTATCTGTCGTCTCTGCCGTAGATGATTTCACATCTTCCACATTCTTTTTTGCTGTCGCTGCTGTCGTTTGCTCGACACGTCCACTAGGCAACGGTGGCTCCAGCGTTTGACGCTGGGCCATCTCCTCAGCGCTGGCGGCCTCGTTTAATTTTTGTGTTTGTCGACGTGGAGCACGTCCTCGAGTCTTGCGTATGCCTCGATTATTCGATTTGCCAGTAGCATTAGCGCCATCAGTTGATTGATCTTCAGCTGGGATGCGTAATTTTATATTAAAGAGTGGATAATGCAAAGTTGTCATTTTCACTGGGAGTTAAGAGACAACGCGATTGTCACAATATCTGGCTAGTGTCAATAAGTGTGGCACCTACCTGACTTTGATGGTGCATCGTCCACAACTTGCCCTGTTATTTTGATACGTCTGTGAGCTACAACGACCATTCGCAGCTTATCTCCCAGATCCTGCAGCTCCTGGATTTGAGCAAAGGTGCCAACCGAATAAACATCGTCCAGATTATGTATGAGCTCCTCTTCCCCATCGGTTTTCTTAAGAAACACGCCCACATAAGGCTGGTTGAGCTTCACCTTGCGTCGCAAAAGATCCATGATAATTGGATTCGAGACCTAAGTAAAAATTAACACATGAACGCAATCATAAAAGAAAGTTCTAGATAAGCAATCAACCTCGACTATCTTCATGAACCGCGGGAACAGTGGATTTCGTCGCATCGCTAACATCGGCACGTGGGGCCATACATCGGGCACGGCAACCGTCGCCGGCAGTTGTTGCGAGTCTCGATGATCGGCCAGCAGCTCAGGTTCAGCCTCGGCCATCAAGTCATCCTCGTTATCGTTGCGCTTGCGGCTGAAGAAGCGCTGTGTCTGCATCATAGAGACTGCACCATTGTATCGCAGCAACCTGACTTCTTTAAAATATTGCACCATGCAATTTTGTGTATGACGATGGCGAGCGCAGGCAGCTACAGTGGATAGGCCCCGGAGCGCGGCGCGAACACGTACAGCACGCGAGAGCATTTTCCAATTATTTCTGTACACAAACAAACGGCAATTTATTTAAAAAAAACTGGAGCCGAAGCCGCAAAGAATGAAAGTGTAAAATGATTATGTGATAGCGCTGATGAAATGACAGCACCGCGCGACGATTCTGCTGCATAGCAATCGATAGAAATATCGATATAAGGTAATTACCAATACGTTTATACGTTACGTTATTATACTAATGGGTACTCTATTATAGCTCTATTGAATTTTAATAATCCCATTATGAAGAGTAATATGGCTAAAATGCAAATATATTTTTCACAACACACGCAAAATTTATTTAAATTGGAATCACTGAAAAATGTTCCCACTGAGAGCAAACGTTTTTATCCATCGATACTTGATTTATTAAACACATCCCTATGAGCTATCGAATTGTCGAGGTGTCGCCAACAACAACACATCCATAGCAAAATCGAAAGTAAATAGAAAAATAGTGCAATTTTTTCATATTCTGACGACAAAATGGTATCGCGTTTCGATCAGCAAAAAACCAAGCACCAGCTCTTCCATGTGTCGATCAGTCTGGCTACCATATTGATATGCATGACCTACATGCAATATCGCCGGAATTGGGCTCATCTCGGAAGCTTTTGGGACTCCCTGATTGTTCCGATTGTGTTTATTGGTGAACTGCTGAAAGTAATACTAGCCCGGTTCTTTGGGCGCATTGAGGACGGCGTGCTAACTGCCAAACAGCGACAGAAAAAAGCTGCATACTTCACGCCACGCGAACTGCTCGGCGGTCTAACGTTGCAATTTCTGTGCACACTGCTCTACGCATTTATTTGCATCATTCTGGGTGCACCTGTGTTGGCGAACTATGAGCAGACGTTCGTGTTGTCGCTGCTAATGACTCTGCTCACAGTTTCACCGACTGTTTTCCTACTCGGCGGCGGAGGCGCCTTGCAAGTGTGCTTCTGTGAAAAGCCAGACTTCATAACCAAGTGCGAGGACACGGCGCTGCATTTATTCAAGTACAATGCACTTGGCGGCATTCTGGGCGCCTGGGCTGGCAGTGTGGTGGCTCCGCTGGACTGGGGACGCGACTGGCAGGCCTATCCCATACCGAATGTGATTGGAGCCCTGCTGGGCAGCGCTCTGGGCAATATTTATGCTTGTACACATGTGTTGTATGCGTGTGGACGCGTTTACATGAGCAAGAAACGTGCTTAAGGCCAATAATGTAATCAATAAATCCTGCCACAAAACAAAAAAGAAGTTTACGTTGCGCTGCCATCACACCCACATCTAATGAAGCGAATCGCATCGTTGTGTCTAGTCAACAGCTTATGATTTACATACCTACACATACATATACCAAAAAGCAATTAACAATACTTTAATGTTACAAGTTTAAGCAATTTATTAGCGTGTATAATTAATTCATTTTTAAATCAATCAACTAATAAACTAACAATTAACACAGCTTCGGCCCCCAAATCATTTTATTTTCTACGTGCCCGTCCCCATTTCCAGTATTAATTTAATATATAAATATAAAAGACATTATGCAAATAAATGAATATAAAAAGTTATCGAAAGAAGGAAGCAATTCAAAGATTCTCGTGTATATGTATAACTCATGTAGATTAACAATCAATTTATTAGCTAGATCTGTATAATCACATGCAAAAAGACACAATATGTGGAACGTAAAGAAGTTAACTTAGGCTCTGGCTGACAACACGAATGTCTCGTCCTCGAGCAGACAGCGCTGTGCCACATAGTGTTCGTTCGGTTCCCAGAAGTCGGCCATGTCATCGTCCGCCAAAGGTTCGCTAGCCGCTTCTAAGCCACTATCATCAGGTATATGGAATTCACGCTTGTGCCGTGTCTCGCCCAGGGACAGGCGGCGTCTGTACAATGTGTCACCAATGCCTGGACAGCTGCCCGTCTCGTAGAGATTATACAGCTTTATAAAGTGCATGCCACTGGCTAACCGCTGCACATCGTCCCTTTGCAACAGAGCACTCCAGCTAAGTACGACGGTGGCATGTGGTTCATAGTTAGCAATGCTGGCATTGAACTCCTCCGTGCCTATGTTTGTATTAAAGTAATTCGTTTCCTCGTTAACCAGAAAACTGTGCGCTTCATGCAGCTGTGGTGCATGCTGCTCCAACTGCTGTGCATGCTGCGCCGGCATAATATCCAAGCGGGACAAACGCTTCTGCAATAGAGTTTTAAGCGCTGGCTTATCCGGCAATTGCTCTTCGTCTTTTTCCTGAAGGCGACACTGGAAGCTACAGCATTTGGTTGACCTGAGACATTGGGCACCCGCCTGACCAGCGCTCAATTCCATATTGTTCATGACTGCAAACAAAATTATGAATTAATTATCATTACTTCATGATTCCAAGTCCACTTACTATACAAATTATGTGGCTTCAACGAGTAGTCCCTGGAGTACAAGGACAGCGAGTTAATATAAACTTCCGTTGACTGCACTGCATTCACATTCTTCAAGCTCACATCCAGTCCCAGTTCACGGTTAACAGCATTGCTGACCACACAGGTGGCTTCGGCCTGGAGGCAGCTCTGCACCTGCACCTGCCAAATGTGACGCACCAGGCGATATTTAATGTGGGCATTCACAGCAGCCGGCAGTGCATAGTAGAAGAGCAGACGAAGCGTAAAGCTGCCAGCGGTTTGCGGTGCCTGCAGCCACATGGATATTGTGTGCCCCTGTTGTGCCTCTAGAGCAGCCTGTCCAGTGCGTTGCAGCAGACGGAAGACGCGTTGGCGCCGTATTTCCTTATCCTTGACCAGTTTGTCATTTGACACGTTGCGCAGGGCTGCCATAAAGAACAATATAAATTAAATACTCTCAGTTGATATACTCGTTCCACTTACAGCTGAGTATGGTCAGAGGCATTTCGTTATGCTGCTGTTCGAGTAGAGCTATGCAACGCGGATTATCGCAGCCCAAATAGATTTCTTCGATCGGTGCTATGCCCAAGTTACGCAGCGTGATTGAAACGGGCACAATTTCGCCAGCCAGCAGCTCGCTGGGCACGGGACTGAAGCTGACGCTCAATGCTGGCACCTGCGGCACTAGTTTAATACTCAGCCGGTTGTCCATCAGCGTCTGAGAAGATTGCTTGGCCATTGAGGGCTTAATGCGTTGCGTTTCGAACTGTAGAAGACCCAATAGGCTGGCCGCTGGATCCGCCTTGGCTGCCACGCGACAGACCACGCCCAGTATGGACAGACGTCCGGTCAGCTTGGGCGTGAGCTTGAAGTGCAGCATTTGCTTTGCCTGCTCTGCCAGCTCCAAGGCGGACAAACAGCTAGTCTTGATGGCTGCACCAACGGCCGCTTTGCTGGCACTGTCCGAGGACTGTTCGTATACACAGAGATTGGAGAGCACCTCCTCGTTGTCCAAAGTCAGTCGCCAGAGCAGATCGATGTCCGACAAGGTAATGGCACAGCGAACACTGTTCGACAACGTCACAGCCAACTCGATGGGTTCGCCCTGCACAGCGAGAGGACATTCTGTGGCGGGCTGCTGTTTGGTGAACAAATAGCGCGAGGGCTTAAACACAAAGGGCTTATTGGATGCGGCAGTGATGACCAGCATTTCCTCAATCTTGTGCCAAATTGATTCGTCGGCAGTCATATTTGAGTTAATGTCTATATTGCTCGCCGGCACTTGTGGCGGCTGAACGCTAGGCGGCTGCACAAGCGTCAGCACACGCACCGACGATTGCACCACTTGTGGCAGAGCGTGTGGCAAGAGACCCAGGTCCGGACTACGCTTGAGTAGCTCCTGCAAAGGCAAGCAATTAGTTATGTGAATAGATGCTGCTTATCCACTTACATTCTGCGTTTGAATATACTCTTTCAGAAAGCTGCTCTGCTGCTGCGCACTCTGCAAGCTGCCCGGACGCAATAAATGGGCAAAGGAACGACTCGACTCCTCCAGCTGTTTCAGCATATACGCCTGCTTGGCCACGGTGTACTGTATGTGATCCTCGGCCAGACTCCATTGGCGCTGCTGGAACACCTGATACGCCTGACGATAGCAGCGATACGCGTGCTTACGCTGTCCCGCTCGCGAGTACCGATTGCCGGCCAGCACAATGTGAAAGGCATACTTGCGATGCATGGGCGGATGTGTAACTAGAAAGCAATAAGCTGCCTGCTCGAGCAGCAAGGCGGAACGCAGATCGGACTCCTCGCTAGTCATGCGTATCAGCTGCTTGGCCACCTCGCCATACAGACGCGCTGTCTTCAAGCACTCCATGCTCAAGAGAGTTGCGCGTGTCGCAAATTGCTGTAGCCTAAAAACAATAAAGAGAAGACTTAAACTCAGTTAATGATAACCTAACTGCATCACTCACTTGCACACAGTTAAATAGCTAACGATGGCGTCCTCCATGTAGTCGTAGGTCTTGCGATGCGCTGTGCCCAGCATAAACGCGGAGAGTGCAGCCATTTCCAAGGCGCCTGCATAATACTGCCAGGCGGAGTCTGCATTGAAGTCCCGCTTGGCCTGGTGGTAGGCCTGAAAGGCCAGATTATAGTGGCCAAACATGAAGTAGAGATCACCCAGCTTACGAGTTTGCAGTTCCGCTGATTCGTTCGTATAGCTGGGGCAAGGGGAAGAGATACTCGTTAGTATAATCTGTATTTTTGTGCTTTTATATGATGGACCTACATGACCGCATTTTGATTGTTGGCACCAGCTCCTGGCTTGCTGGTGACGAACCAACGTTTGGTGGCACTCAGCAGGGATTTGCTGACGCCCTTTTTATTGGTCACCCCCTCGCTGAGCATCACCACCAGATGCTCAATGTAGGGTATCAAAGCGCGCACCGCATAGTCCTGCACAAAGTGACGCAAATTGTCAATGTCGCGTGCTGTCAGACAGCTGCCATGCGGTGCATCTGCATCCACCTCATTGGCCCAGACATTCGGATTGATTGTCTGCGAAGCGATGCTTTCGCTGCTGATGCTGAACTTTGAGTTGATGGCCTCGGTGGCGCTCTCTTGCATGGGACTAAGCGGATGCAGCATGGTCAAGTCGTTCTCTTGCGCAGCTTGACTATCGATTAACTGCGACATTTGCATGGCAGGCATGCTGATCACCGAGACGGCGTCTTGCGGAGATTTGGGTGCACTTAGCTCAGATGATGCCATTTGATCGGTTTTCGGCTGTCGTTTGATGTAGTTGGTCCAATAGTCTGGTATGCCATTGGGGGCGTTTCCTTCCATCGAATTGATCGACACCAGGAAGCATTTATTATTGCCGAACGTAGACTTGAGCAGCTCAAAGCCCTGCTGCGCCCTCGATAAATCTCCTTGGCTTGCCTCGTGCAGCACAACATAGCTGTTGAGCACCTCCGTGGGTTGGAACCATTTGGGCAGCTTCTGTGGCGTTATGTTTTGCATTTGCTGAACACGCTGTGTGAGCTTCTGGGCCGTCTCAACGATCTGTGGATCAGCGCTGGACAACACGAGCAAACAGCTTAGTAAATGGCGAGTGAACTCGTGTTCCGCTGGAAACTGTACGGTGAGAAAGGTTTCACGCCATTGTTCAAACCAGGGCTCCGCCGTGGGCACTTCCAAATCGATGCCAGCTACAAAAGTAATTTTAAGCGTGACTAAATGGTTGAAGTAAGAAGTGTGTAGCTTCGATTTACCAATTGTAATAACTTTTGTTTTCTCATTGTGCGCATTCGTCACAGACTCATTGAGCATTTTGCGGGCCAGCACAGTTTGCGGTGGACGCCAGTCCACGTCACAGAAGTTAAGCCGCAGGCCGCGTACAGAGACACTTGTTCCGGATACATCCCGAAAATGAGCTGCAAGAGTTAGAAAACAAGGGAATAATAGAAGCAAATCTATATTTTTAAGAAACTTTCTCGTCAGGTATCAGTTAGACTATGTTCCTAGCTTCGTTATCGTGCTAATTGCTTCCGTTATGTTTCAATTTATGCTGCTCCAATTTATTTTGTTTACTCACCATCGTTTGGCAACTTCGCAAAGGGCTGCAGCAGCTCCACGAAGGACAAATTATTGCGATGACATATGTCATCGGCCAAGTTGCTGCTCAGCACGCCAATTAATGGCGAAAATATGTTCTTAATTATATCACGTGCATTGTAATTTTGGCCTGTCAGATGTATCATATTTAATATATTTTGGTTTATATTAGCACAAACACAAAACACCTCCCAAATCGGCCAATCTCTTGTGGTGTGACCAAAGTCCGAATCACGTATTCAGTTCGTGGTATATAATAGATGTAGCGGTTAAAAATACTAACACGCTGGCTATACCAATATTTAAATTTTCAATTAGCCACACAAACGCCATAATATATATTGAGCTTTTTTTATATTTCGTGTTATTGCATAGCGAATAAGCATTTTGCTACTAATTGTTGTATTATTTATATTACTTAATTTGGCTACAAATATTATAGCCTTGATATATGAATCAGCTGCGTTGCTGATGGAGCTTAGTATTTTTAGCGTTACCAGATTAATAACGCGTTCCTTCAAGCAGACTGATCGTGTATTTACAGCTGGAATTGGCGGGAAAGCCTTCTATCAGCTGCTAACATTAGTCTTTCACTAAATTTATCTGCTGCAGTTTTTGCACCTTACCGCAAAACAAAATCAAGAAAATATTTTAAGAAATTCAAATTATTTGATTAGAATATATTAACCTACGCTAAACACAGTTTAATTCCTGATTCTTATATTTGTATTAAAATTTGTGCAATTTAAGCAGCACACGGGAAAAGAAAAAGCGCGCCGATTAGTCGTCTCATCTTTGTCCACAGAAGTCTTTGGCCCGTGCGCGTACAGTCAGCATGGCTAAGGTGCACATCACAAATGTTGTTGTGCTCGACAACCCGAGCAGCTTTTTCAACCCATTTCAATTCGAGCTGACATTCGAATGCATTGAAGAGCTCAAAGAGGATCTCGAATGGAAAATGATTTACGTCGGCTCCGCAGAATCTGAGGAGTATGATCAAGTGCTGGACACTATTTACGTTGGCCCGGTGCCCGAGGGTCGTCACATATTCGTCTTCCAGGCCGATCCGCCAGACGTTAGCAAAATTCCCGAACCAGATGCAGTTGGTGTCACAATTGTTCTGCTGACCTGCTCATATCGTGGGCAGGAATTCGTGCGTGTCGGATATTATGTGAACAACGACTATGCCGATCAAGAGATGCGCGAGAATCCACCACCGAAACCGCTCTTCGACAAGCTCACACGCAACATCTTGGCCAGCAAGCCGCGAGTCACACGCTTCAAAATCAACTGGGATGACGGTCACAGCAGCAGCAATGGCAACGGGCATGAGAATGGACACGAGGGGCACATGATGCACGACGACGGGCCGTCCACATCGGCGGCGCATCATGAAGCGGCCATGGATGACAACAGCCTGGCCATGCCGGTAGAAAATGGTGTTAAAGCGCTCAATGAGAACTCAAATTCGCTTGCCATGGAATGTTGAGGTACCAGCAATCACACATGCATACATACACACACACACACACCAACTCAAAAATATAAATACACTCACAGTGGCGCAGACTTATAAGCTCCCTCCCGCCCAACCAACCTACTGGTCCCATTAATTAAGTACTGTAATTTAAACCTTATCGCTGTTAAATAAATTTAAATTATCTCTTAATTTGCATGCATTTCTTTCATTCAATAATTGCTTTCGATATAAATTATCGATCAATTTAGAGGCGATAGTTGCATATTAAAATTAGTGCAAAAGCGATGTTATCGTAAATTAATCGAGCAGTCGATCAACATCCGTTAAGTTTGAGCTACATCAACTTAACGAATTGATTAGATTATGTTGGATTACTACTACAACTACATTTTTTGAGCAAGCCAGCCGCCAAATAATATAGTCGGGAGTTTAAATTATTGTCTGGGCGAGTCGAGGCTAAATTTCAAAAATTTAAAATTTTAATTTATTGTTTGAATTTGTGTTTAAACTCAAAAACGCAGGACTAAAAATTTATTTAAAAAATCCAAAATTTAATTATTTTCCGAATTGCAGTCTAATAACCAATCTTTGAAATTTTGACAAGCCAAAATTTAAAACAGGAAACCAGAACGAACAGAAAATTAAAAATTTGATTTGTTGCAAAAATGACATCTCTCAGAGATTGGAAAAATAGCCTCAGATGTAATGAGAAACTTTCACCGAAAAGCAAAAGTAGAACTGCTTTCAGGTATACAACAAATTGTAGTCTGAAAAAAATCTCGAAATAGCTCATAGTTTTATTTTATAATGTTCAGCTGTAGTGAAAAAAATTTGGACCTAAATTTCGCTAAACCGTCCGGTAGTCAACACGCTTACGATCGATTTGAAGTGAAAAGGAAAAGCAATACCATGCTGAGAATCAAGAATCGCAATGATGATATTGCGGCCGATGCGGTGGGTACGACAGCGACCGTTGCTTTATCCGGCTCCAATTCGCCAATCGCACGACCCTGTGATTGCCCGGAGGAGGAGTCGCATGAGTTGGCCATTCCTCACGATTATTCCACATACCTCAAGGCGTTCGCTTTGATATACGTGCTGCCCGAGGAGGAGTGGAAAGCCGAAAATATCGATAAGCTGCTAGTTGAGGGCGAGGAGCTGTTCCAGGCTAGTTCGGGAACGGAAGTTGCAGATGGCCTGCGCAAGGCGCTGTCCTCCATCTATACCAGTGTGGAGCAGCGCATCAAGCGCAGCTTCAAGCTGGAGGGACACAGTTTCACACTGGAGCTGAGGCCCAGCTATTTGGGCAATTCGAACAAGCCAGCCGATCTGCGTCCTCCGCACATTATGAAGCATCTACGAGAAGTGCTGCGCGCCTTCTTCCGAAGGGCTCACTATTGCTTGCTCCAGCATAAAGCGGGCCATCTCTTGATTTGGCGGCGACGCAATTTGTATTTTGTGATGGATGTGAAGGGTCGTCGACCCGATGACTTGGCCAGCGCTCGACCTCATGTTGCGATGCTGATTTGCCTACAGACCCTGGATAATGTCGTCCACTTGGCGAGCAATTTGAGTGGCGACAATCCAAACGATGCATTCAGCATCCGTGAGCTGGCCGTGGTGCGTCTGGTGACGCCAGATGGACGCACCTTTCTGCGGGATACCAATCAGCGGGCCCTCGAATATCATGTGATCAACAATAGCTATGCCTTTCTCAAGAGCAATCTGCATCTCTCTCTCAATCCGGAGGCGACGTTGCACAATGGTAGTAGTGTAATTGTGGGCGTGGCCAGCATAATAGCCGCCCAAATTGATCATCCGGCTTCGTGGAACACGTACACCTTCGACCGACTGATCTGCTATGGTGTTGAGCTCTGCCGCAGTTGCTGGTGCGCAAATGTGAGGAATCGCTTGCCAATTAACTTGGCCAAGTTTCCCACACAGTTGCGCCTTGGACAATTTGTTGCGGAGATTAAGCTCTTGCCGCAAATTGGTCGTGGAAGATGGCGTGTTGGTCTACCAACTCAGGTGGGTGTTTGGTGTCTTCAAGATGAGTGAGGGAGTGAGGGAGGCAGAGAGACGAAGCTGTCGCTCTTTTCTTTCTTTTTTCTTCTTATATCTGAAATCCTTTGTTGTATTTCTTACTCAAATTACCCATTTCTGTTCGTAGAGTTCCTTCCTTTCTTCAGCTTTCCCTTTATTCTGATGTATGAAAAGATCCTTTTTCGTCCTTCGGGTTTCGTCCTTCCTTGCATCAACTTAGCTTTACCAAAAGTCCAACTCTCATCTAACCCCACTTTTCTCATCCTTTCCCAAATTAGGGCAACGCTTTTGACTATGAGATACGCCGAGTCCTGAGAGACTATGGCAACGCCCTGTTCCAGATCAACAACCAGATCTACGCAATGTGGTGTAAGGACAATTTCTACTATTTACTGGATCCCTACAGGCATATTGTGGTCAGCCCACAAGCACAGAAAAATAGCATGAAATTGAAGAAGTTTGCGACGGTGCGAATGTTTCGTGATGTGTGTGGCATGCTCAATGTGTTCCATCAACTGCTGAAGGAGTCCAATCGCCATGCACCGTTCTACTTGCATGTCGTGCGCATCAAGAATATAGCAAAATGTCCGCATGGATATGCGCTGAAGCCGAGGGCCGAAGATGCGTATTGTGAGTTAAAGCCTATTAACGAGCCCATTGACTTTCCTCAACAGTTGGGGAAGTGCGCCCGCCAGCTGGCCGAGATTAGTGATTTCGAACCGGATATGATCAGCACCACAGAGGATGCAACCGAGTTGGAGACATTGAAGCTCGTCTCTGGGCCGGACCGTGCCATCGAGCCGGCGGAGGAGGTCGGCTTGGAAAAAGTACAGGTGGAGGTGGAGGTGGAGACTATAAAGCCAGTTCGATTCAGGCGAGACATAAACAATGAAAAAACCAATTTCGACAAGAAGAGAGGGGGAGTAGCAAATACGAAAGCAAATTTTCAGACACAGATGGTAAGTGGAACGAGCTAAGGACTTTATCGGCTCACATTACATCACATCCTTTAACTCCTGGCAGTCCAATAAGCCGAAAATGGCAATATTAGCGGCTGCAGCATCCCTCAAACCGCCTAAAGTTCCACCTAGCGCCAAGCCACCACGAAGTGAAGGCGGCTTAGAGCAACTCGTTGCGCCCGCTGCCCGGCAAATGGCGCCGAGAATGAAGCGCAAGGGTTTTCAAGCTGACACCGTATCGACACTGGCCAAGAAAGTGAAGTCCAGGGGTTCGCAGGAGCAGGAGCAGGAGCAGCAGGTAATGGCTGACAAATTTTCGAAACTCGATGCCAAAATGTGTGCCAAGTATTTGCCCATAAAACTGAGCAAACTCAAACGCTCCGATTGCAGCCAGTGCGACGAGTCGAAGTGCAAGGAAAGTGATAATAGTCATAGTCCCCTGCTGTTCGAGGGCACCAAGCCAAATAGCGAGGTATCTGGCCAGAGTGCAGCGGTCCAGTATCCTGTCTATACCAAATATCCTTTTAATTTGACTGTCGCTGGCTCCGAGAGCGGCACCGTTGAGAGCCTCAACCGTCTGCTGGACTCCGCCTTCAAGGTAACGAATCGAGTGCTGGCCATCACGCCGTGGGGCAACTATGTGGTCTTCAAGCATGCAACGAATCAGATGTTGGAGCAGTCGAGCATGTTTTATGTATTCGATGGCTGCACCTGCAACATCGATCGCTTCCGGCACTTGGATCTCAGCCATGGCACCGCCGGCCTCTTGGCCTTTCAAAGCCAATCCGAGGTGGTCTGCTATATGATTGATTCACGCGAAACGCGAGCCCTGAAATCGTTGCACGTCCAAATGGATCAGACCACTACACAAACTGAAACGTTTCCATGTCGAGGCACATAATACACTAGATGCATGAAAATTAATTTTAATTATGTTTTGGATGCTTTTAAAATGACCAAATTTCTCGTAAACACAATATCATATAGTAAATATTATTAAAATTTTAACATTCCTCTGAAGAACAAGCATTGGAAAGTCGTTTGGAAAATCCCTGTCTGGAGATAAGTAGGATCGTCTCTTAGTCAACAAAAATAAAATCTGCTAATTTTAACCAATATAAAAAAAAAAAAAAAAAAAAAAAATAAATAAATAAGTAAAAAAATGTATTCTGAGTATTCTGCCCGAAGGTAAGTTTCTAAATAGTTTAAAAAAATATATATAAATAAATAAAATAAAATATTAATAGCAAATGTATGCACAATAGAATAAATCTTTGGTAAAAACCCTTGCCCGAAAGTAAGTTCCTATATAGACTGCTAATTTATACACCATACCAAGTAAAAGAGTTTTCGCTTACTTTTTTCGGTTTTTGTTTTAATTAAGATTACAAACTAATTCGTATGAGTCGTTAAATTTAAACTTAATATGGAGTACATTTACATAATGTAGAGAATTTTTCATTTTTTTTTTCTTTTTTTTGCATGCGACTAAACATCCAACTAGTGTGTAAATATATGTATATGCGGTGTATATATTATTGTTGAGTGTATATAGAAATATTTTAAATTTGTAATTCGTTTTTGAAGTATATATTTCATGTATTTTTCTTGCAGCGTTATGTGCGCTTTTTGAGTGGTTTCAAATTAACTAGAGCGAACAATTTGTGGATTCCATAGCAAATGATTCAATAGATCTGGTTAAGTTTTTGTAAAGCGCACATATTTCACATCATACATTATTATTATTTATATATGTTTTTTTTTTCTTTTTTTTTTTTGTCGTTTCTCTCGAATATTTGCTTTAAGGCACTGAAGCATTGAATTTTGTGCATATCGAAAAAGTAATTAGGATTACCGGTATAGAGTTCCTTCAAATGATTCTGTTTGAAGTGATTCCAATGCGAGCTACAAAATTATATCATGCGCTTCTTTAAAAAACATTCTCATCGATTTCTTTGCAAATTTTGCATTATATAAAAAATATCCCTGACTATTTTGCGTTATATATATATATATTGTTTTTTTCCTATATAATGCCTGAGGCCAATCTATAACGGTTTTTTCTGGTTTGGTGTGATTTTGTTATTTTTTTCTTTTCTTTTTTCGTTTTTCTTTTATAGTTGGGAGCGTGTTGCGGTTAAGCTCTTAAGATTGAGAACTACTTAATGGCTAAACTAAATATACAAT